TATCTTGCTTACTAGATGGGATGTAACCCCACCTTGATTGTTCAAGTATGTTACGGTGGTGACATTGTCTGACATGATTCTCACATTTTTTATCCCTTGCCTGTAAAGTGTTTTAAGGCGTAGAATACTGCTAGTGCTTCAAGAGCGTTGATGTGGAGATTTTGTTCGACTGGAGACCAACTCCCTGAAATTATTGAGCTTCCGAGAGCCGCCTCCCAACCAGTGCGAGATGCGTCTGTGAAGATTGTTGTATTCGGATCCTCCTATAAGAGTGTGATTCCATTCCATTCATGAAGGTTGTTTATCCACCATGAGAGCTGCGCTCTGCTTTGTGGTGATAATGTAAGAGTGGAATCCCAACCAAATCTTTTTAAAGCAGCATTTTTGTCGCACAATAAGTCTCAAGACATAAAACATGTGGGAAAAATTGCGCTTGCTGTTGCTATAAGTTTTCCTATTATGGACGCCAATTTGCGAATGTGAATCACTAGTCTGGTAAGTATCGATTTGCATTTCTTTATCACTTCTTTTACTTTGTGATGTGGAAGGGAAATTATCATTCTCTCTGAATCTATGGTAAAACCAAGGTAATCCAATGTTCTTGATGGTGTTAAAAATGATTTTTCCCAGTTTATACAAAAACCTAATGATTCTAAGAGACAGATAGTGGTATTTAAATGTTTTTTAGTTTCCTGTTTGGTGTTCCCAATAATAAACATATCATCCAAATAAGCTGATATTCTGATTCCGGATGTACGCAATAGTTTTATAACAGGACGTAACAACTTGGTAAAAATTATTGGGCTGGTAGAAAGACTGAATGATAAGTAAGTAAAGACATAGCGTTCTCCACAAAAATCGAATATGAAGTATGATTGGTCTTGGTCTTTGATTGAGATATGTAAGAATGCATCCTTTATGTCTAACGAAGCCATATAGTGGTTCAGAAAAATAAGCGACTTTACTGTATCTATATTTTTCATTTTGAAGTGATAATGCTTTAAGTAACGATTGAGGTTCCTAAGATCTAGAACTAAACAGTTCTTTCCATTCTTTTTGGGAATCATGAAAATCCTGAAGGTAAAGCATGGAGTCTGGTTTGTGATTTTCTTTATAATGCCTCTTTTTAAAAGAGATTCTATTTCTGTCATCATTATTTGGTCGTGTTGGTGGTGGGAAATGTGCTGTATAGACCTGGGAGGTATTTGGTCCCACGTGGGTGAATATCCTTCGTATATAATCCTTGTAACCCAAGAGTCTCCTATTAGTTTGTTCCATTGTAATATATGGAAACGTAAACCCAATGTTTGTGATAAGTGTGGTTTTAAGATTGAGCTTGGTTCAGGTTCTGTTTTGGATAGAACCTTGTATTGGGCATGTAGTTCCTTGTGCTTTCCCCAAAAAAAGAGTTTGATGTGTCTTGATATCTTCGTGCTAGCCATGAAAAGAAACTTCCTCTTCCCCCGGGAAGTAGTTTTCTTGGCAAAATCTTGACGTTTTTGATAATAAAGTGCATTCTGTACAAGCTTGTTCTTTACATTTTCCTTTTCCAAAGTCTCCTTAATTTCTGTAGGGCCGAAAACTTCCTTCTGTTCTGATGCCGATTGATGTGAAGGTAATAAACAATTGATTGCTTCGTTACGTCTGATTTCGTTAGTATAGGAAAGGCTGTCAAGTAATAAACTTCTAATGTCCAGCAAGGACTGTTCCAAAGCCTTCCAGGATTGTAGTGCTTCATTATCTGAATCCTCAGGTTTTGAGTCGTATAACAAGCGTAATACATTGTCGATAGGGTGTAATGAAGCTGATGTTCTGTAGGATATTTTAGCAAATAGTTTGTTATTTTCTCTAACGATTCTAGGCATAAATTTCCACAAGTCCTTGTCCATAGTTGGTGGTTTAAAAACAATATGCTTGTTACATGGGTGTGACTGTAATATAGATTTGCATTCTTCAAGGGTAAGTAAATTGCTTTTAAAAATTTTTGTGGGCAGGTTGCACATTTTAACTAGTGGCTGCCATGTATAGCCCTGTTCATAGGGGTCTTTCTGGTTGTCTGGTTCGAAAATGTTACTAAGGGCGTCTTTGTCCCGAAAAGGATTAGCAGATACTTGGGTAGATGCTGGCTCATGGGTGTTGTCGTCTAGCGTTTGGTGGGTGGGGTGTATGTCTGACATAAAAGAGAGTGTTATTCGAGTGCAGACAGCACCAAGAAAAAACAGTCTAGTGAACAATTAGATAATAGTTCTATATTTATAAAGATTACTAATACCTTAATAATAATGTAATATATAAAAAAAAAAAAAAAAAAAAAAAAGTAGTACAACTCCGCAAAGTTGGGCAGCGACCAATAAAATTACAGTCAAAGCACATGATCAGGATCTAACCTCTGAGTGAGGTTCATTTAACGAATTTGATTGGTCAATTGGCACATCAGGCATAGAGTAGCGATCCGTAGCCCTAAAATCCTAACTATCTGAATATCTATCCGATCCTATACGGATATTATCTGAACTATACAAAAATGTAATTATGCTTGGATAGACATTGATTATCCGTTAATTATCCGATCATCCGTTTAATCAGTGGTTATTAATATGTAATAAATAAATCATCGCAATTATTTTATCATTTAATTATCATT